ATGCTGGTTTGCACTCTGCCCCCTTTTGGGAAGGGTTTGTCAAGCCAAGAGCTGAGAGAGAGAAAAGGATTTGGAGGGGAATCCCCACGCCAAAATTTTTTAAAAAATGGCGTGGGGTCCCCCCCAATCCATAACAGACCCTTATCCAAGCATGCAGATACCACATGCCTTTAAAGATTTATTTCCTTTGTTGAATTGCCTGCTTGTTTCTCACTAGATGTGATTTAAAATTGCACTTTTGGTTGGCAATTTCATCGTGTTTTCTGTAGATTTCCCAACGAGTTATTGCATTTTCAATTGTGTTTTGCATTGCGATTTCTATTGTAGTCTATATGTAAAATCGCTACAAAATGCAGAAAAAGTTAGACAAGAACTACTTTTGAAATCGTGCTGCAGCAAGTCGCATATGTTGAGATACTCAAATTCACATTCATTAGATCCGATATCAGGTATGATTTAAATTCCCAACTGAAATCGCGGCAGGCCTGGATGTGACTTGGTGACTTGGCATGCGATTTGCATACCCTGTGACTTGCAAATCGCATGCCAAATTGCAGCCGGTGTGACCGGGGCCAAACACTACAGTCACATCTAATCCGATTTGGAGATTGGCAACTTACAGTGAAGTCGCACGATTTCAACATTGGATTGGATGTGAACAGAGCCTATAGTGGACAATAGGTTGCGACTTGGCCTACAATTTGCAAGTCGTCTGGAATGCAAATCGCATACCAAATCGCACCCAATGTGACTGGGGCACCCTGGTCACATCAAAGCGGATTTTGAAGTGGTGCGACTTACAGTGAAGTCGCATGATTTCAACATTGGATTAGATGTGAACTGAGCCTATAATGGATAATAGGTTGCGACTTGGTCTATGATTTGCAAGTTGCCTGGAATGCAAATCGCATGCCAAATCACTCCCGATGTGACTGGGGGCCACCCTGGTCACATTAAAGTGGATTTTGAAATTGTTCGACTTACACCACGATCACATCAAGCCCAACTTTTAAAGCATGTGACTTACAGTGAAGTCGCATGATTTCAAAGTCGGGGGACATTCCGATTTCAAGTGCGATTTGCAAGACATTTGACACAGATCTCTCTGCAAATCTCACGAAAAGTAGTGTATTCACTACTTTATAAATCGTTGCGGCTCCGACCAAGTTTGAACCACACTGATATGACGCTCTAATAGTGGTCACATCGACAGTGACTTGGCATGCAATTTGCATGACATGCGACTTGCAAATCGTATGTCAAGTCGCACCCTGTAAGTATTGTTACAATTAGAAGACGCCTATGTGAAGCCAAGCTATCTGCAAGAAGCCCCCGAAAGTCCCACTGTTGAAAAAAAGACATGTGCTGAAGAGGTTACAATTTGCCAAAGAGCACATTGACTGGCCTAAAGAGAAATGGCGCAACATTTTGTGGACTGATGAAAGTAAGATTGTTCTTTTTGGGTCTAGTGGCCGGAGACAGTTTGTCAGACGACCCCCAAACATTCAAGCCACAGTACACTGTGAAGACAATGAAGCATGGTTGCGCAAGCATCATGATATGGGGATGTTTCTCATACTACGGTGTTGGGCCTATTTATCGCATACCAGGGATCATGGATCAGTTTTGAATACATCAGAATACTTGAAGAGGTCATGCTGCCTTATGCTGAAGAGGAAATGCCCTTGAAATGGGTATTCCAACAAGACAACGACCCCAAACACACCAGTAAACGTGCAACATCTTGGTTCCAGACCAACAAGATTGACGGTATGGAGTGGCCAGCCCAATCCCCGGATCTTAATCCAATAGAAAACTTGTGGGGGGGTGACATCAAAAATGCAGTTTCTGAGGCAAAACCAAGAAATAGAGAAGAACTGTGGAATGTAGTCCAATCATCCTGGGCTGGAATACCTGTTCACAGGTGCCAGAAGTTGGTTGACTTCATGCAACACAGATGTACAGCAGTTCTCAGAAACAGTGCTTATACAACTAAATATTAAGTGATTCAAAGGAAAGCAAAATCTTCAAACATTTTTCAGTTTATATAGCGAATGTTTGAGTTTGTAAAGAGGAACAACACAAATTTGATATATTTTTCTTCATGTTTTGATTTGGAATAGAATGTGTAGTGTTCCCAATGCATTTGTGTGTATGGAAATAAAAGCTATTAGAAGGATTTTGAGCTTTATTCACTTTTTTCAACACACTGCTATTATTTTGAACACAACTGTAGGTGTGGGGGATTTGGGGAAGTGGGAGGTGTTTGTTATTTTGGCACTTTCTTATGTATTTTTATATTGATATTTTGATCTGGGGCCTGTTTTGTGGATAGATAATCCTACTAAGTGATGGTGTGTGTTAATTTTATGGCCCTGAAAATGTTGCTTGATTCATATTAACTGTTTGTTTCCTGCTGAAAACCTGTGAAATCACTGTTCATTAGAAGGTATAATCTTTTGGATTGTAAGAGCAGGACCATTCTATTTTAGCAACGTCAATCATGCTTTTTTTTTCCCACCAAGAAGTTGACTGTACCTATTTGTTGCTGCTGTCCAAATAAATGTGGAATATGTATTTGATCAGTAAATGTTTGGACTGTGTATTTTTGGGGGATTATTTCATTTTCAAGTTCAATATACTAGCACCTCTAACACTTATTTTTTGCTACCTATATAATATGCCCAAATCTAGCTTGTTATATGCAAGTATGTCCAAACTAACAAACCAAAAGCCCCCTATTGCACCACAAGACAATGTTATGTACCAATGAATAGATCGTGTCTAATGTGCAGCTAGCTATTCTTTTTCTACAATCCTCTTAACAGTAATAAATTAGACCCCCAATTTATGCTGACTTTGGGCTTTTACTGGCAAACATATATTCGCCAATGCCAAATACACAATAGAGCTGCAAACATATATTCTGAATGTTATATATACAATGGAGCTGCATGGAAAATTGCTATGGTGCACAAATAAACGCCAAGCTGTCATACCGGAAATACATCATCACGCTTGCGGAAGGACATTCGCGCACACCCGGAAGTGGTAATGGGGAGTGTTAGTGGATGGGAGTGTAGTTAGGAGAGTTTAGTGGTGATTTGCAAATCTATTTTTTGGCTTTGCTAATCATTCTTTTGTGGAATTCCAGACCACATCTGGACATGGCCAGATCGCTGTTCTCGACTGAGGAGCTGATCCTCATTTGCAAAGTAAGTGTGGCCATTGCAACTATGTTCATAGCATGTGTGGGGGGGTTATGTGATAGTTTTATGCTTTTTTTTTGTTTAACAGGTAATGTGCAGATTTTGGGGGGATAGCGCATGTCACTTAGTGCACATCTGCATACACATGCTACCTCCTGTTTATCTGCATATTAGCTTGTGGGTATTGATGGATCACCGATATTAACCATCCCAGCAGCTAGAACTTCATGTTTAATCTCTGCATATATGTACAGTACATGTATACTGCATACCATGCCTTAGTGTACAGTGTGTTAGTGTACAATGTGTTGGTGTACAGTGCATTGTGCTCCAACGCACTGTACACAAATGCATTGTGCTCTAACGCACTGTACACAAATGCATTGTAGTCTAACGCATTTTACACTAATGCACTGTACACTCTAATACATTTTACTGTTTTAGTGTAAAATGAATTAGAGTGTACAGTGCGTTAGTGTACAGTGTGTTAGTGCAAAATGCATTAGTGTGTACAGTGCATTAATGTACAATGCGTTAGTATGAAATGCGTTAGAGTACAATGCGTTAGTGTACAGTGCGTTACTGTACATTGCGTTAGTGCACAATGCGTTAGTGTACAATGCGTTAGAGTGTACAGTGCACTAGTGTACAGTGTGTTAGAGTGTACAGTGCATTACTGTACATTGCGTTAGTGCACAATGCGTTAAAGTGTACAGTGAGTTAGTGTGCAATGCATTTATGTACAATGCGTTAGAGTGTACAGTGCGTTAATGTACAATGCATTAGTGTAAAATGCGTTAGAGTGTACAGTGCGTTAGTGTATAATGCGTTAGTGTAGTGAGTTAGAGTACAATGCTTTTAAACCATAAGAAATGCACTCAAATTCTGGAGGTGTATACTGCACCAGGTATGATGAACATCCAGTAATGTACTTCTTTAGGCACAAGATGGCAATAATCACATGGGCCCTTGCCTTGCATTTCACAGTGTGTTGGCGTTTTGGACCCTGGACTGGTCTATGCTGCTGGGGATGATACTGCCATCTTGTGCCTTAAGAAGTACATTACTGGATGTTCATCATACCTGGTGCGGTATGCACCTCTGGAATGTGAGTTCATTTCTTATCGTTTATTGTGCAATAAAAGTTTTTAAAGGATAAAGCACTATGTTGAGCTTTTGTTTATGAGGAATTACGGATGACCCTTAGGCGGTTATCTGGAGGGGTCATCCTGGGAGATATTATTCAGCAAGTTGATCTTCAGGAGTCCACACATTTGGGACCAAGAGTGCAGTTAGACCAAAACTATAGGGCGGGTGCAAAGCAGTGCTTGCCATTTTAGCCAGTGTGTAGTCAACATGACAACAAGTTGTCCTGGCCACTCAAACATTACATGAATACATGGGAGTAGAACAGCTGGCCAGTTTTGGCTATTGTCTGTGCCACCTGTAGATTTATGAAGAAAAAAGAACGTCTGCTATTTATCTAAATGTTTTTATTTTTCTTTCAGCAGATTAACTGCTGGAGTACAAGGCAGAGGGAGACCCTGGGAAGCCTGTTGTGATCAGCTGTCTGGCATCACAGGTGAGTTTGGAAAAGTGATCTTAACAATTGTTTGCAAAATAAAATAATGTAAGACTTATGCAGGCCATAGATGGGTCGAAAATCGGCCGATTTTTCGGCCGAAAATAAAATCGGGCCGATTTTCGGATCATTAGTGGGCGATTTGGTCGGCAAATCGGTTTTTCGGTATTTTGGCCGGGTTTTTTTTCCGGTAAAGTTGGAAAAAAATCGGCCGATTTTCGCGGCAATAATGGGCAAATCGGCCGATTTTTTACCAATAAAAAATCTGCGCATGAGCAGTGACCTGCAAGAGGGAAGACAAAAAGAAGAAAAAGAAGAAGAGGATGAAGATGATGAAGAGGAAGAAGTAGAAGAAGAAGAAGAAGAGGATGATGATGATGAAGAGGAAGAAGAAGTAGAAGAAGAGGATGATGAAGAGGAAGAAGAAGTAGAAGAAGAAGAGGATGATGAAGAGAAGAAGAAGAAGTAGAAGAAGAAGAGGATGATGATGATGAAGAGGAAGAAGAAGTGAAAGAAGAAGAGGATGATGATGATGAAGAGGAAGAAGAAGTAGAAGAAGAAGAGGATGATGATAATGAAGAGGAAGAAGAAGTAGAAGAAGAAGAGGATGATGATGATGAAGAGGAAGAAGAAGAAGAAGAGGAGGAAGAAGTAGAAGAAGAAGAAGAGGATGATGATGATGAAGAGGAAGAAGTAGAAGAAGTAGAAGAAGAGGATGATGATGATGATGATGAAGAGGAAGAAGAAAGAAGAGGATGATGATGATGAAGAAGAAGAAGAAGAGGATGATGATGATGAAGAGAAGAAGAAGAGGAAGAAGAGGATGAAGAGGAAGAAGAAGTAGAAGAAGAAGAAGAGGATGATGATGATGAAGAGGAAGAAGTAGAAGAGGATGATGATGATGAAGAGAAGAAGAGGATGATGAGTAGAAGAAGAGGATGATGATGATGAAGAGGAAGAAGAAGAGATGATGATGAAGAAGAGGATGGTGATGATGATGATGAAAAAGAAGAAGAAGAGGATGATGATGAAGAAGAAGAAGAAGAGGAGGATGATGAAGCAGGAGAAGAAGAAGAAGAATGAAAAATTAGAGGAATTCCAGTAAGGCAAAAAGTGTCCCTGCAGAGAGCTCCGCTATTTCTTTGACAGTTCTCTGACAGTTCCTTGACATTTACAGAGGTTGCAACATTGTATCTATTTGTTTCCGAATAAAAACATCTGTATCCTAAATGGAAACAAATAGATACAATGTTGCAACCTCTGTAAATGTCAAGGAACTGTCAGAGAACTGTCAAAGAAATAGCAGAGCTCTCTGCAGGGACACTTTTTGCCGGCTCTAGACGGGATGAAAATCGGCTGATTTTTTTACCATTGATGGTAACGTCGGCCGCTTGAACGACCGATTTTTCATTTTTTAAAAGAAAAATCTGCCGTTTTTTCTCCCCATCTATGGCCTGCATTACCTGATCTGCACAGTAGTTTGCCACAGCACAGCCCAGATCCTTCATTTCGTTGCTCCCCCACCAGCATTCCTTGGCCCCTCTCTCCTGTCCAGTGCCCCTAGAACAAGCACCTTGTTCTGGTGTGAGCCCAAGAAGACTCACTCATGAGCTACAGAGCCCAGAGAGCCAAGCTTTTCAAGCACATCAGGGAATCAGGATGGGGCTCTACTTCAAGTAAGCATTAGTGTTCCTGGGGGAGGGGGGACCTTGTGCCTTTCCAAACACAGTAAATGCTCCAAGAATGTTTACTTCAGCTCCTGAAATGGTAAAAAATTAAAAAGATACTAGCCTGCACTGAGAAGTGATTGTCATGATGAAATGTCAATGATTATTTGCTCTCATTTTACAGGAGTGGTACTGCTTGCGGTTCAAGCTGGGAGAAAGCCACCTTCATGGCCTCCACTCACCTTCTGAAATGGTAAAAAATGAAAAAGACACTCTAGCTAGCTTGCACTGAGAAGTGATTGTCATGATGATGTGAATGATTCTTTGCTCTCATTTTACAGGAGTAGTCCTGCTGGTGGGTCAAGCTTGGAAAAGCCACCTTCATGTCCTCCACTCACCTTCATTTGTGGCCAGTGGATATTTTGTGGCACCATGCAAGAACTGGCATCAAGGACCTGCATAAACACCCTGGCATGCCAGAGGTGGTTTGGAAGCAGCACAGCAACTTGACCATCCCGTTCCTCTATGCTGCTTTTGAAGGTGCACTATTTCTTCTCGTTCCTCAATGAACTTGCACCTTATATTGGAGTCCCCATATTTTCCAGATATGTTTGAGCCATGTGCTGGCAAACAGCGGAGCCAGTTTTTGGTTTGCACAAAAATTGGGAGCTGGCAGCCATATCTTTCCATCAGGCCACGTATTTGCCTTTTTTTGTGTTTTGTCGAATAAAGACTATTTTTTGGTTCTTTAAAACAGTGTCATATCCTCTTGATTCTATTTCCAAGACTTAAGATGGCCAGATAATATGCAATCTGATGAAAAGTCTGTGAAATTTCCTCAACATGTAGCTAAAGTCTGTAATAGGAGGACCTACCAGAACAATGCATTAATTTTGAGTGGGCCAGGCCCATACAGTACACAATGGAGGTTTGCTATGAAGGCACTTTCACATTTGGATACCTGAGCTCATGTGGTTTGGGTCCAAATATACTAAGGGGTTAGTTCATGCTTGCCTCAGGGGAAACATTACTAGTAATTGTTGTATTTTCAGTTGAAAACGTGTCAGATTCCTAGATGCATTGAGGTACATAGGTTCAAGGTATTCCATAGAAGAAGTTATTGTTCTTCCTAACTATACAGGTGGCACAGACACAAGCATACACCCAGGGCCACTGTTAGCTATCACGGGGCCCTGTACAGCCTACCTGACAGGCTCCACACCACCAGCGAAAATATTAAAATTATATTTATGGTAAAAATACACTAAAAACATTATTAATGGACGCAGTCCGAACCAAATTCCTGTTAAATCTAAATGATAAAACTGTACTGAGTTAATAAATAAAACTGTGTGTGTAATTGAGGTCTTGGGGCTCATTCATAAAGGTGCTGTGGCCTGTAGAGTGTGAATCAGTGGTTTGTTTTTGTGGCTGTCACCGTTTGCAGGCAACCTATGTTACACTATAGAAATGCTGCAGGTCCTAATTTGACAAGCATATGGGTGTAGGTGTACAGCCCTGAACACAGATAGTGAGCATTCAGGGCCACTTCTGCATGCCTGCACACCTGTCAGATTAAAACCTGTGTTCATACAGCTGCTGTGTCCCATGAACAACCCACTCATTCATGCTGTACAGGCCAGAGGACCTGTGTGAATGTGGCATTTTTGACTTTTGTTTCCTCAGCCCATTAATTTCAATGGACTACCTAATGTGTGGGGACATGCAAAAATACTGCAGGCATATTATTTTAAAAGTGTGTTGCAGCTCACCACACAGTAGTGTGGTGCCAAGTGTTTTGGTGGCTGTGAATGCATCTATGTTTTACTAGACGTGTGGAGGTGCAATTAAGTTTGCATCATGGTGCAGAAAAAAGCAACTGAAACATATGTAGTGTGAACTGGCCCTAAAGGTTATTATAGGTAAGGGAACGGGACTGACCAGGAATTGTGAATTCAATCAGACTAGTGGTGAGATACAATTAGGAATCTTATAATAATGCTAGTTCTGAGCTGTAGGTGATAGGAAATGAGACACATTAACTTGATCAGTAAATAAATAGTTAAATAAAAAGAGTGGGGCGGTGATACCTAGATTTGCATATGGAACAGGTGATGACAGGGGGGTGGGGGTCAAGTTGTATAAGGAGAGAGGTTTAAGAGAAAAGAAACAAAGTTGCAATAAAATATAAACAGAAGAAAAATTGAAAGTTTCAAACTTGTCAGAAAAACAGGACACAGGTAAGATTCACTCCCATTGATTGATCAATATTCCTGACACTGACAGCACCCTGGAAATTGATCTCCATATTTTGGGCATTCACAAATGTCAAGGAGCTTATAATCTATGGCTAGGAATTTAGACATATACTAGGCCCAATTAACCTAGCAGAATGTCTTTGGAGTGTTGGCAGAAATACACCCATACAGAGAAAGCATGCCAACTCCAGACAGGTGCGGCCATGACTGGGATTCGAACCCATGACCCAGGTGCTGCAAGCCCTGAGTGCTAACCACTGAGCCACTGTAACAGAGTTTGAGCTGGAATGTAGAATAGTTACATGATTAAAGAGAGTGAAGATATATAATTATATTGGGAAAATAGAACTAGACATTCAAATTATTAGAGATATAAGTTTGAAAATGTTTGACATTTGAAAATAGGATGTATGACTTTGTAACATTCATTAGGAAATTCATTAGTTGGCCAATCATTTTTGGAGAAAAAAAGGCAAGGAAATTAATTAAATTTAATTAAAATTAAAAGGGCAACCATGATAGCAGCAACAAAAAAATAATAAAATAAATAATTTAAAATAAAAAGCACACCTATAAGTATTCTCATATGCAGACGGATAAACGCCAACGGGACAAAGTCCACGATTGTACGCCACCTAGCAACCATAGGCATTGCTTCTAGAAATACGCCCAAGCTGGTTTCGTATTTACGAACAGGATAGTGTCTATAAAGTAGACTCTTTCCAATTAGCTTGCTAGGCGCTTTTCTGAACACTGAAAGGTCTTAAGTGATTGAATTGAGTCGGCCTGAATGTCCAGCGTCTGCTGATAAACTCAATTCTTAGTAAACCACGGCCCAAAAAGTCTGTGTTCAATCAAAATATAATCTAATATTGAGTACATCCTGTGCACCTCAGAGAAGAAGGTATAGTCCCTTTCCTTTGGTTATTCAACCCTCCAAGTATCCATCAGCTGACATTGATGTAGTTTTTTTTAAATATTTCTTAAACTTCTATCTCCCTCTCTCTTGGCACATGAATATGCATCCATCCCTGGCTGCATGCAAAAATTTATGTCACCTGCCACTATCACTCTACTCCTTTTAAAATCTAAAAGTTTTGCCAGTATTCTTTCCAGGTATAACGTCGGGTTTTGTATTAGGGCAGTATATATTTGCCAGTGTACACTCTTTTCCCTGCAAATTTCCTCTTAAAAATAGATATCGGCCATCCGGATCTACCATCTTTTCCTCCAGGATAAGTTTTATATTTTCCCAAAACCTATCACCACACCCTTTGCCCATCTTATTGGGGAGTCTGCATAAAACCAGGTTGGCAAAAATTTAGAGTATAACTTAATACTTGAATCCTGGGATATATGTGTCTCCTGAAGAAACACCACTTCTATAGATCTTTGCTGTATTTCCTTTAAAACCTTCTATCTTTTTGTTGGAATGCTTAATCCTTTTACATTGTTCCCTCCCCCCACTTTAACCTTTTTCTTTCCTGCCTCCTCTGTAGGGGTATAAGTAAACAAGATTTTATAATATGAAATACTTCCCTATCCCCCCCCCTTCCCGCTTCCTCCTCCTCTCCCCCCCTCCCCCTAAGAATCCTATTGACCTATTTTTGGTCCTTGAATCAGCCGTGACCCATGGCCACAGCTGATTCCTTCTTCTAGGTAAGACTCCTACCACATACACCCTCCCAGGCCCCAGTCTCCCTTGTTTGGGTCTGAGGTTTAACAGCATGGTTGATCTCCCCACTACCCACCCCGGTGCTTCACCTTCTTCCCCCCCCTGCCCAATCCTCTTTATGACAATTTTCTTGCCTTCCCTACACACGCCTTCCTTATCCCTAGAGCCCCTTATATAAAATTATTTAAAAAATGGGGACTCCACCTCTGCAACGATACCAAATGTGTTTGAGGAATACGGCAGTGAGGGAGACAGTGTGAGAGAAAGGAGATAACAAAAAAAATGTTATTAAAAGAGACAGGGGGCACCCGTCATGGGTCTGCCATCTCCCATTCCTCTCCCACCTTCCCCCCACACCGCCATCACTCCCACCCACCTATCTCTTTTTAGAGACTGTTTTGCCAGTTCTCCTCAGCTAAACTTATATTCTCTTTCTCTCCTAAGGACCACCCTTTAATTTCTAAAGTCTGTAAGTCTAATATTTCAAAAAAGTAATTTAGATTTTCTGGAAATCTCAGTGTCGCCGATTTTTCATCCTTCCACCCGATCAGACATGAATCTCCAGTTATAGTGGATATTTTTATTCCTTATCTTCTCTAGCAGTGGTTTCAGTAATCTTCTTGCAAGTGTCTCCTGTGCTATATTTTTGAAATTTGGCACTTTCGTGTCTTCATATTTCATTCATATTTTATTTCTGGCATCCCGTGTAGCTTTTTCCAGATACATTCTCTATCTTCATTATGGTTTAGTCTTACTATCACATCTCTAGGGATTTCTGGTGATACTTTTTAAGTTCTTCCTATTCTGTGCACTCTTTCTGTCTTCAGTTACTCCGTTTCTTTTCTTCCCATTATTGGGTTAAACAATCTTCTCATGATATCCCTTAGATCTTCTCTTTGCAACATTTCTGGTATACCTCTGATCCTCAAATTATTCCTTCTATCACAGTTTTCCTGATCCTCTAATTTATAGGATAACAATCTTTGTTCTCTTTTCATTTTCTCCATTTGCTCTTCCAATTTATTTATTACTTGTGATTGTTTCTCCAGTTTCCCTTCCGTCTCCTCCACTCGTGATAGAACTTGTCCCATATCGCGGTATAACACCGCCATTTCACTTTTTATTGAGTTTTCTAGTCTTGCAAACATGTTGGCGATTTCTGCTTTTTGGGGCATTTGAGACCTTACTTCTTGCTCCTCTTTCTTTTTCTCATTTCTTTTTCCGACTTTAATATTTCTTTCAGCTAATGTCCTTCCAGTATCTCAAAGTATAATCTCACCTGACCTCCCAAACCGCTTTCCTCTTTTTGGCTTTCTGATATTAATTCCTCTGAACTTTTCTCCTGTTGAGACATATACTTTTTTTTATAGTACTTGTATTTAAGTTAGGCTGAGGAGTTTCTCACCCCCTCCCTTGACAGATCTACTCTTCATATTTCTCATGGTATATGGTAGATATTGCTTCTAAATACAGAGTTACTATTCAGACTGAAATAAGGGTACACTGTCCCGTCCACCTCTGAGAACCCCAATACACTGATTTCTTAGCCACTTGTCCCCCAGCCTTCACAATAGCGTACAAATGTTTGACTTTGGGGATTTATAGCCTCCCCCAGCCACTCACCCAGTCCTATGTGTTGTTCACAGTGGCTGGCCGTCCGTATCTCCCTCCTCTCTTCTTGGGACACGCTGGCTCTCCTTCGGCACCTAGGGGTTCCCAGTCCTGGTGGTCCCAGTCTCGAGTTC